TAAATGTAGGGTTACGAGCGAACAAAAAAGTTCTGAGCAAACAAATTTTAGGGACATCCTGTATAGCATGGTTGCCGCCGCCCGATCAAAGTCAAAATTGGTTCAATGATTTTGCTTGATATTTGTTTACCCTGTACCAAATTTCAACGCTCTACCATAAATGGTATTGAAAATATTTAGAAAAATGTGTTAAAATTTCTGAACTTTGATGGCCCATATCTTGGCCATTTGAAGACTTTTATAATAATTTTTTTTCACGAATCGTCATCACTTTTGCTCTAGTATGTGAGGTTAATTTTATGCCCCGAGTAACCGGAACACCTGTATTCAGGGATAAATTGATTATTTTAAAAATATTTTCAGTAAGACCGTTTGCTTTAAAACAAATAAGCTAGAGGGCGTTATCTGCAGCGATTACATATTTTTGGGATTTTTGAAGAAAAATTAAATGGACTCTTAGTCACCTTAAAATTTGCTAAATTTTAGTGAAAACCGCATCGCGATATCGCCACCCGTTCTCGAATTATAGCCTCGTAAGGCCTAGCGTTTTGAAATATTAGTTGTAAGAAAGACCGATATGGCGTCCTATAGAACATAATGACAACCGTTGTTAAGACCTGACAATCTTTAAAATGACAGATATTATTATAACCGAACGTTCTATGAGCAGAACATATTTTATTTTTGTTAATTAGGGTAATATTTTAGAAAGAAATAACGTTATATCAATAGTTATATATTCGTCTCTATCACACGCGTTAAATAAAGCTAAAACAATCCGCCTTATACAGGGTGATTTATAACATACGGAGAAGAATAAATGGGTAGGTACTTGAGGTCAAACTGAAGAGATTTTCTTAATAATGTTTTGTTAAAATCTTAATAGTTACATAGATATCGCATGTTAATTTTTTAAATAAGTTAGCGTCAACTTTTGAGAACCGCTGATATTCACTAAAGAACAATTAAAATACTTGTCAACGCCATCCTCATTTTTGAACGAGCTGTCAAAGTAGACAATTTAATTGTTTAGTTTTAATACGTAATTTATGAAAAGAAATAATAGATGTTAATTTATGAAACGGATAATAATAATGTTTTAAATGCAAAATTACAAAATCTCTAAAACAAGAAAATAACATAATAATAATAATAATCTCTTTATAACATATGTTCAAAGTGCTGTCCTTGCATTTCGACGCACAACTGCGCACGACGAATCCAATTTAAGCAGTGATGCGATGTCGTAGTTCGTCGATTGTATTAACCTCGGTGGCATATACTCTATCCTTCATGAATCCCCATAAAAAAAGACCAATGGGTTAAGATCGGGACTACGTGGTGGCCATGGAATAGGTCCACCTCGACCAATCCATTTTTGCCGAAAAGCATTATCGAGGAAATCTCGTACATTACGACTGAAATGTGCATAAACCACATCTCACGTCGCATAAGTAGCGGAATATCTTCCAGGAGTACTGGCAGATTTTCTTGTAAAAACTGTAAATAAGAAGTTCCATTAAGAGTTCCTGGTAATTCGAAAGGTCCTATTAACGTATTGTTCACAATTCCCGCCCATAGATTCACTCTGAATCGTTGTTGAAAAGAGCCTTGACGAATAACGTGTGGATTTTCGTCCGACCACACATGGGAATTGTGAACATTTAGAACACCATTTCTGGTAAAACAGCATTCATCCGTTACCAGTATACTGTCCGCAAAATCTGCTTCTCTGTTGGTACGATTTAGTAGCCACTCGCAAAATTGCAACCGCAAAGGATAGTCAGCGGGAGTCAGTCCTTGCAATTTTTGAAAATGATAGGGGTGTAAACCGTTACTTTTCAACGTACACCAAACAAAATTCTGGGATACGTCGAGTTGGTGAGAAACTCGTGTTTCGATCCGCTTCTACAATTTCTAGAATTTCTTCTTCCACATTCACTCCATGTCTGTTTAGTCTACCGCCACCAAGACCTTTCTTAGGTTGCAAATTTCCTGTCTCTTTTCCCCGCTGGATTAACCGAAGAAAAGTGTTTTCAGAAGGGATCTGTCGATTTGGATATCGTTCTAAATACAGACGTCTTGCGTGTGCAGCGTTTTCTCCAGCAGCTCCATAAATAATAAGCATATCTACGTATTCTTCGTTACTGTACATTACCATTATTGTATTTTTTGATTAGTAAAAATTCTAATTTTGACGTTAAATGACATTGATTATTAAAAATTAAATGACATGTCCGTTAACCAAGTCAACTGGATTGACAGCAATAAAAACATGGTATCAGCGGTTCTCAAAAAACAAACACCAGTTTTTGAGTGATTTAACGAATTTTTAAATAGCCGTAACTGCCATATTACAAAGATTTTATTATTGGTGCTAATCAGGCATTGCTTAAGTAACCCCGAAATATTCCCAGTTTGAATTTAAACGTAGTGCATTACCGTATATCGTAAGAAATGCTCATTAATACAACTTTAGCGTTCTATATCTTTGTGATTATTACGTTGTAGTCAAAACATTATTAAGAAAATATCTTCAGTTTGGCCCCTAGTACTTGCTCTTTTAATCTGCTCCGTATGTTATAAATCACCCTGTATAATGCTCTTCTCTGTAACCTATGTAACCTAGCCTAGGAATTTAATGTCAAAATTATCAAATATCATGGAAATTAAAGAGCGCCTACAAGGTGATAGGAGTAGATCAGCACTACTACACCACAAAGTCGTCATCTGCAGCTATACGTACTTCTTCTGTAGCAGTATTTAGCTTTCTAATCAGTTTAGTCAGTATATTTCAGCAAGAATCTAACACTTTATAGACACTATCTGTCTTCTAACAACGTTTCATCTTTAGTAAGCAATCTTTAGAACTAGTCTAAAATTGTATAGGCAGTATCTGTATTTAATCCTCTGGAAGCAGTTTCTAGACTATTTTAAGCTAAATATAGCAGAATCCATCATTTGCCAACAATATTTAGTCGTATAGAAGCAGTTTCTAGACTAGCCAATATTTAGTCTTCTGCAAACAGATTTACTGGAATCCACCTTTATCCTTGTTTTATCTCTTGGCATAGACCAACATTTCCAACTTTCTATGTCGTTATCTAACTCTATGTATATGTGACATAAACAAAAATTTAATTTCAAATTTTAAATTCTGTTATTGTTTTCGCAAACAATAGACGTATCGTTAGAATTGAAATATTTATGGATTTTTTGGTGTTAAAAGTTAAAGAATTGCAAACTTAAATCAAGGACACAAAGATTAAAGAGTACGATCTTTAACCCACTTTCGCATTTAAATAAATTTCGAGTATATAACTGTTTCAAAAATGGCTCAATTATTAGAAAATTTATGACAACAGTTCACTTTTAACGATCATAAAAAAAATGGGTATCCAATCTGGGTTGAAATTATCCAATGCAAGCCCAAAGATGGTAAAAAAAAGTTATATTCAAGTGAAAGCCGGGGATGAAATTGTTATAACAGGTAAATTTAATTATTAAAAATTTCAAAAATAAATAATTTTTTTTAGGAATGTCTGGAAAATTTCCTGATTCTAACGATGTTTATCATTTCCGTGATAATCTCTTTAACAAGGTTGATTTAGTTTCCGGGGATTATAGAAGGTGGAGACCGATTCATCCGGAGGTTCCGCAAAGAACCGGAAAATTGTTTGATATTGAGAAATTCGACGCAGGATTTTTTGGTATTCCTAAACTCCACGCTCATAACATGGATCCAATGTGCCGGTTGATTTTAGAGAGAGTTTACGAGGCTTTAATTGATGCTGGTCATCATCCTTACGATTTAGAGGGAACGAAAACCGGGATTTACTTGGGGTGTTGCTTCTCAGAAACTGAAGAATCAACTTTTTGGAACAACCTAACAAATTGCGACCCAATAACGGGGTGCCAACGTTCCATGTTGGCAAAAAGATTAAGTTATTATTTTAAATTAAACGGGGTCGGTTTTATTACTGATACGGCTTGTAGCAGCACTTTATTCGCTTTAGAACAAGCTTATCGTCATATTAACGAAGGAGTCTCCGAAAAAGCCATCGTTTGCGGAACCCATTTATGTTTGCATCCGCTTATGGCGTTGCAATTTGCTCGATTGGGAGTTTTGAGCGAAGATGGTTCTTGCAAATCGTTTGATGACGCCGGAAATGGCTACGCAAGATCAGAAGGAATTGTTGCGATCCTTTTAGAAAAATCTAAAGATGCGAAAAGGGTTTACGCAGAGATTGTGCATTCAAAAACGAATTGCGATGGTTATAAAGAGCAATCAATAACATTCCCTTCATCGAGGATGCAAAAAGTTTTGATGAAAGAGTTTTATGAGGAGTGTCAAATTGATCCTGCAACGTTAAGCTTTGTGGAAGCACACGGGACCGGGACGAAAGTTGGTGATCCTGAGGAATTAACGACGTTAGATGAGATTTTTTGTAAGAATAGGAATCGCCCTTTGCATATTGGGGCTGTTAAATCAAATATTGGGCATAACGAACCAGTTTCGGGGATATGCTCGATCGTGAAAGTTTTAATTGGGTTTGAATCGGGGTTTATCCCCCCCAATATTAATTACACCACCCCAAGAAAAGGAGTTGAAGGTTTAGAAAAGGGTAGACTCGTCGTTGTGACGGAAAAAATCCCATGGCCTAATAATACCGGTTTGGTTGGGATAAACAACTTTGGATTTGGTGGAGGAAATAGCCACGTATTATTACGTTGGAACCAAAAAGTTAAAATAAACGGGGGAATCCCCAAAGATGATTTACCAAGATTAATTTGCGCATCGGCAAGAAACAAAGATGCGATTACAGCGATTTTCGATGAAGCCTCAAAGATGGATTCGGAATTTATTAAATTAATCCACCAAGTGTTTAGCAAAACGATCCCAAATTCGATTTATAACGGATTTTTGATAGCCGAAAAAAGCGGCGAGATCAAAAGAGTCATCAAAGAAAATTTAATTAACAAAAAATTAAGAATCGTCTTCAACAACATCGATAAAAATTGGTTCCAATTAGGAGCAAAATTAATGGAAATCCCCCCATTTTCCGGATCAATCCAACAAATCCACCAAATAATCAACAAAGAAATTCAACTCAACATCACCGAGATTCTCACCGACCAAAAAATAAGAAACTCAACGCAAAATTTCCTCGGATTTATCGCCGTCCAATTAAGTTTGGCCGATTTAATCAAAAATTTGAATTTGGATTTTAACGAAATCGTTGGGGTTGGATTTGGGGAGTTTTCTGCCGCTTATTTAGACGGGGTTTTAACGCTAAAAGAAGCTATCCTTGGTACTTATTACACATTGACGGGAAATAAAGATAAAATTAAAGAAATTTTTGCAAACAAAGTTTTAACCCCGAAAAAATGGGTTAATAAGCAAAAAGATTCAAAGAAATTTATTCAACCTTTAGATTATTTCATGGAAAATGTTTCAAGCCCGATTCATTTTGAGGATGGATCCAAAAATTACATCAATTTAGTTATTGGGGAAGCTAAAAATGAGAAATCGGATTTGGTTTTTATTAGAAATAAATCAAATCCGATTTATGAGTTATTAAATTCTTTGGGGGAGTTGTCTCTTTGGGGATTCCCCTCACAATTAGATTATATTTACCCAAAAATTTCTTTCCCGGTGAGTAGAGGAACCCCGATGATTTCTCCATTAATTAAGTGGAATCACTCCGAAAATTACACCGTTTATTTATACGAAAAATGTGAGAAACACCACAGTGGGCAACGCGTCATGCACATTTCAGTTCGTTTAGAAGAATGGATTTTTTTAGAAGGACACGTAATCGATGGAAGAAATTTATTCCCAGCCACTGGGTACTTAGCGCTAGTTTGGGAGTGTTACGCTATAATTATCGGGAAATTATTGAGCGACACACAGATAGTTTTCGAGGATGTAAAATTTTTACGAGCGGCCAATATCCCAAAAGAAGAAACTTTATCTTTAAAAATAAACATTCTAGTTCAAAATAAAACGTTTGAAATCCTAGAAGGTGATAATTTATTAGTTACCGGGACGGTTTATCCTTTAGTTGGGGATGAAAATAAAACGAATCAGCCCGAAATTATTTTAAGCGGGGATGAGGAAGAAACCGCAATGAATCAACGCGATATTTACAAAGAATTAAGATTACGAGGGTATCAATATTCAAATAAATTCATGGCGATTAATTCATTTAATTTCCACCAAAATAAAGCGATGATTTCTTGGGAGGGGAATTGGATTGCTTTTATGGATAACATGCTCCAAGTCCAATTAATTTCTCAAGACACAAGAAATTTATACGTCCCAACCAGCATCAAAAAAGTCATCATCAATGGACCTCAACACATAAAAAGCGCAATAACCAACAACAACTTAATCCCCGTTATTTACCACGAAGATTTATCAACGATTAAAGGGGGCGGAATCGAAATAATCGGCTTAGGGGCAAACTCAATTGCAAGAAAAAAACCAGCAGATCCAGTTCTAGAATCATACAAATTCACCCCATATCACGACAAATTACAAAAACCCCAAGCAATTAGAAGCTTCGTCCAAACAATCTTAGAAAACTCAGCCACAATTAAAGTAAAAGCCGTTGAATTAATCGCCGAAGAAGATGGTGAACCCCTCTTACCCTTAGTACAAGAGAGTTTAGGTGATTTACCTTTAATCCAGCCAGAGTTAACAATTTTCTCAAAAAAAGAAGATTTTGATCTCCCCGGTATTACGGTTGAAGATAAAAGTCTCAACACAGAAACTCATTGTCTTATTTTAATAACAAAAAATATTTTTGAAGACCCAAACTTTTTATTATTAGCTTTAAAAGCCACCAGAGACGCCTCCGGGTTTATTATTTCCAAAGAAAACCGAAATTCACCCATTAAAGAGCACCCCCAAATCCAAATTTTATCTTCCTACGAAAACGAAGACAACAAATTAATTCTAATCAAAGAGTCATCTCAATACGTCGAAAAACTCCCGATTAAAATAACCGAAATAAACGATTTCTCATGGATTGAAAATCTCCGTCAAATAATATCGTCATCAAATCGAGTCGTTTTGTATTCGGAAAAAATCGAAATTAATGGGTTGTTGGGATTAACGAATTGTTTGAGGAGGGAACCTTCGGGGGTTAACATTTCCCTTGTTTTGGCAACAGGAAACACGCCTCAATTTAACGTCAAAAATCAATTTTATAAAACTCAACTTGAAAAGAATTTGGCCATAAATATTTTTAAAGATGGAAAATGGGGTTGTTACCGACACTTTTTGTTAGATCAGATTGAAAGCGTCCAAAACGAACATTGCTATGTTAATCTTATATCACGAGGGGATCTCTCAACTTTGAGATGGATTGAAGGAGCGTTGTCTTCTACGTCTATTTCGGAACCGGGAGTGGAACTTGTTAATGTAATTATTGTTTTTTAATTAATGTTTTTGATTTAATTTAATTAATTTATTAGATTCATTACGCATCGTTAAATTTCCGCGATATCATGACTGCAACAGGAAAATTATCTCCAGATGCTATAACAAAGGATAGAATTCTTCAAGAATGCACCCAAGGTTTTGAATTTTCTGGGTGTTTAGTGTCAAATCCGCTCAAACGTGTGATGGGGACTTGCACAAATGGTGCTTTATCAACAATGGTTATGGCTGAATCAAAACTTTTTTGGCCCATTCCTAAAGATTGGTCTTACGAAGATGCTGCTACAGTTCCCGTTGTTTATGGAACTGTTTATTACGCTTTCTTCATGGTATTAATCCCAATTTATTTAATTTTCATCTCAATTTTTATATGAAACATAATTTAGCGTGGAAAAATGCGACGTGGTCAATCAATTTTGATTCATTCAGGAACCGGAGGAGTGGGACAAGCCGCCATAAACGTAGCCACTCACATGGGTTGCAACATCTTTACAACCGTAGGCACAAAAGAAAAACGTGATTTCATCCAAAAAAATTTCCCCCAAATCAATTCAAACCACATCGGGGATTCCCGCTCCACATCATTCGAACAAATGATTTTCAAAGAAACTAACGGAAAAGGTGTCGATTTCGTTTTAAATTCTTTAGCGGAAGAGAAACTTTTAGCTTCGGTGAGGTGTTTAGCGAAAAACGGGACCTTTTTGGAAATAGGAAAATTCGATTTGGCGAATGACAACGAATTAATTGGGAGTTTATTGAAGAAGCAGGCCCGATTTGAGGGGATTATGTTGGACCAACTTTTTGCAACTGGAGTTGATCGTAAGAAAATTAATTTTTAATCAACCAATTACAAAAAAAAAAATAATTTTAGGATATAAAGAGACGTTGTCAAAGTTAATTCGAGACGGCCTCTTAAATGGTTCTATTAAACCTTTAATTCGCACCGTTTTTAAAAGCGATCAAATCGAAGAAGCTTTTCGATTTATGGCGACGGGGAAACATATAGGAAAAGTTGTTATTAAAGTTCGAGATGAAACGATGAAACAAAACGGTGAAGTGTTTGAAGGAATTCCGAGGTAAGATAATTTCAATTAATACACTGTTGGAAATAATTCACGAGCACACCCTGTATAATCAGAACGCGTGTGTCTAGCGCAATAAAATTTGGTATGGAAGTAGTCCTAAAGTAGTGTAACTTACTCTCACATGGAGAACGGCGCAACTCTGCTGGGAGGAGAAATATCAATAGCGAGAGTATCCCCCGTGAACTTCGCGTACCATCGCTACACGACGTGGCATGGAGTCTATAAGTCGCTATATTGTAGCGAGAGGGATGGCCAACCATGCCACCTCAACTCGCCTCAATAGCTCCTCAACGTTAGCCGAGGAAGCCGGATAACGTAGTAGTCTCCGACCAGTCATGTCCCAAACATGTTCTATCGGATTCAGATGCGGAAACCACGGTAGCCATGGAAGCATTCGTATACGGTGCTCTTCCACAAAGGTCTATACAACACGCCCGATGTGCTGTCGTACGTTGTCGTGCATGTATAGCAGACCTGGGAGCCGCCGAACGTAGGGAAGCACAACGGACCGTAGCACCTCATCTACGTATCGTTGACCCGTCATGGTCTGCTATACACGCAGCAGACGTGTACGTCCACCATATGTAATCGCACCCGACACCATAATGTTCGGTTGTCGGTGGATAGGGCGTTCTTGCACACACTGCTCGAGTAGACGATCATCACGGCTCCGACGATCTAAAATTCGCGCATCATCGGTGCTCTATTCGAATCTTGATTCGTCGGAAAACAAAATGTCCCTCTACTCGGCAACCTACTAATGCCTAGCGTCGACCCACTACTCGTGACGTATGCTGCGGTGCTTGGGTGTTACTGCAATCCGCTGTATCGCACGACGCGCGCGCCAGTCCCCTATCTACCAAACGCCGCCGTACTGTTCGCGTAGTGAGTGCGCCTTCCCCTGCCAGTGGCCAAACAGCTCCAAGTTGCCTTGAGGAGGACACACACGACGCTAAAGCGCTGAGCACAAGAGCGCGATCCTCGTGTGATGGGGACGCGCAAGGCCGTCTCGGCCGCGGCTGAAGGTACCTATGTCCTACCTCAGACCATTCTCGCCATGCCCGTTGCACTGCCGATAACGACCGCTCGAGACGACGCGCGATTTCACAGAACGATACACCCTCAATGTGCATACCCACAAACATTCCTCGCTCAAACTCTCTTAAGTAACGCAATCACCCATCCATTGCGCACAGAGTACGATAACAATGTGGTCCCTCACACCACACTAAAAACGACCGGTATTTTCCATCCACTTCGGTCTCCATAGCGACGGAATGTTCCACTTGGAAGGGCGGCTCAGTCAACAATGCCGCGACGGAACAACTCGAAACTCCCTGAATAAACTCCGCAAATATTATGGATTTATCTTCACGCGTTCAGATTATGTAGGGTGTGCTCGTGAATTATTTCCAACAGTATATCTTTAACCCTGGACGGTTATACTTCGCCGAAGTAATGACGCATATTTAAAACTTGTTGGAAAGAATTCTTGTTCTTGCTCGTTTTGTGTTCGTTTTTCGTTCTAGTCATGGTCAAGTTGTTGGTGTGTGCAGCTTACAACGTAAAATAAATTTATTAGTACTTATTGTAGAGGTGCGAACCTAGTATTAGTGGGTTAGAGTTAAGTCTACTTTTTAGCATACGCAATAACTGGCAGTGTTTGGTGTTATACATATCTACATCTTCAATCTTATCTAGTGAGGCCTCTTTCTTTTTAATTTTCAACAGATTCTCGTATATATATGCAGATGGTAAGGTCATTATATCATTTTTGATAAGTAGGGGCTCGCATGTTGATGTTTGAAGAACTCCATCAATTGCCCGAACGTCTTTCTTTTGCAGATGGAAAACTTTTTAAGCATGGGAAGAATTACCCCATACAGCATAGAAGCATGAAATAAAGCAAAGTAAACTGTTCTCTATCGCATATATTTGACGACTTAGTCTGTTACACACTGTTACAGAACAACACACAAATATGGCACCTTTCCTCCTTGGAATTCGTGATGAATTCGACTAGTTCTCAAGATGTTGCTGGACTTTTCACGATTTGTAACAAGTTTATTGGTAGTAAACCAGTTAGACTATATAGATGTTCTTTTTCGCGTTCCGAAACCATCGTTACTGTATCATCCGCAAACAAGAAAGTAAGACAATCAATACTAAAGGGTACGTCATTAATATAGATAATAAAGAACAGAGGCCCTAAAAAATGGCACCCTGAGGCACTCCAATTTTAATACATTTTATATCTCTCTTTATTATCTCTCGAAATATGATTTGATAAGATTTAGTGTAACTCCATGAAAACCATAATATTCCATCTTGCTCTGAAAAATCTATGGTCCATGCAGTCAAATGCTTTTGAAAGATCATGCTAGACCGTTTTCCTCACATTCGAAACGATCTTAAACCCATTTAATCAGTCTCTGAAGGGCATTTACCGTTGATTTAGCTGTCCTAAACCAATATTGCTTCTCAGTGAAATATTTATTCTTATCAAAAAAGTTTATTATTCGGTGTACCATGAGAGAGAGAAAATATCTTTATTAAGCTATCGACCCTTTTCGGGTCTTTCCGCTTCGGTGTACCATGATTTTTCCGAAAATTTTAGAAAAGGCTGGTAGAATAGCAATAGGTCTGTAGTTATTCATATTAGGAAACACACCCTCTCTAATAGAGCAGCTTATAATATCAAAACTGGATCTTTTATGATGTTCCTCTGAGCGTTTGCCTTGGAATGATTTTAGTATGGGTGCTGCTTCATTTGGATTTGTACAAAAAAAGAAAATCCAAATTTATTATATTTCCAAATTTATTATATTCCATGTTATTTAAAAAAATGATCAATTTTTTTTTATAAGCCTTTTCTTATAAAAAATAAGCATAACCTTCCAGGGTTAAGTGACAAATTCCCTTTTAATTGAACCAAGTTCTTGCATAAGTATTAATTAACTTTATCGGTACTAATTATCTTACATCTTCGGCAAATAAATACAATTCAAATTTAGTAGTTAACAAAGTTAACGAAAAAACGGTTTTAAGAACCATATTTAATTAAGCAGGTGAAGTCCTAAAATAATAAAAATTTATTAAAATACATCCAAGAATAGCAACATAGTCTAAATTATCAAAGATGTAAGAACTTCAAGATGCCAACCAGACTATTAAAATTAAAAATTTAATATATTAAGGAGGCCTATTAAGGTCTCCTTGATGAGAAAAAATTACCGTACCTGGGTTACTGACAATGTGAAGCTGCTTATGACGCTTCGTGATAATGCGTTTGCTAAATTTAAAAAAACAAAAAGTCCTGTTGATTTTACTTCTTATAAAGAACTTCGGAACTTTACTAATTTATCTATTCGGAGGGAAAGAAAAGCGTATCTTGAGCATATGCTGAGCACTAGGGGATGTCGGGAACTTTGGACCGGTTTTAGGGCGATGGGCATTGTTAATAGTAAACAGCGTTCAACTTCTCAAATAGTTGCTACGGGTGATATGGACACTATTAATTATTATAACTTAAACACAGTACCTGGTGTTACTGAGAAGCTGACATTAACGCTTGCAACTAAAGAAGCGATTTATGACGTACTACTCAATCTCAAATCAAATGCTATTGGTACTGATGGTATTGGTATAAAGATGTTGTTGCTGTGTTGCCCGTTGATTTTGCCTTATATTTGTCATATAATTAACTATTGCATTCAGGGCTCTGTGTTTCCTGACTGTTGGAAAACTGCTCTGATTACGCCAATTCCAAAATCTGGCAATCCCAGCCAATTAAAAGATTTGAGACCGATTAGTATTTTGCCGGTTATATCTAAAATTCTGGAAAAAATTATTGCTGACAGGTTGCGAGAGTTCTTAGATAAGTTCAATATTCTACCTATGCGGCAATCTGGCTTTCGTAAAGGATACAGCTGTACTGCTGCCCTATTGTTCGTGAGATTGATCAGAAAAATGTCACTATTTTAATTTTACTGGACTATTCAAAGGCTTTTGATACCGTTCATCATAAAACTCTTTTATCTATGCTTCATTACATTGGACTTTCTGATGATTCCATTTTGTTTTTCTGTAACTATTTAACTGGTCGTAAGCAAATGGTAGCTCTAAATGGCAACTTCTCTACTGAATGTGCTGTATCGTCTGGAGTTCCTCAGGGCTCAGTTCT